TTGCCGGGATAACAGGAGCGGGCACCCATCCCCAGCAAACGACTGACAATCGCAGTTGGAAGCAACTGAGTTCCTGTAGCAGGGCCAATTTTACCTACACGGGAGCAAAATGGTGTGGCCTTTTCTCCAGGAGAGAGGGTTTGTCACCTTTTGGGATTCTGGAGCCCTGGGGCTGTGTAAGGAGCTGGGGCTGACAGGAGGGAAAAAGAATAGTTTGGTGAAGTATTAGACGCAGATTGTAATTCCTTGAATTAAGGGAATTTTACATTGTGCTAGAAATATTCTGCATGACTCTGAGCTTGAAACGCTGATTTGGGGAAGTCTGACCGGCCAGAGGAGAGGTAGCCTTGAGCATCCCTGTCATGCATTGGCACCAGGAGAGCTGATGGAGAGGATGTGTCCTGCTGGTCGGGCTGTGCTGATGCTGCTGGTTTTGCTGACATGGGGAGGTGTGTAACATGGGGAAACGATCCTTGCTTCCCCTTCCTCACTCCCATTTCAGATCCCAAGGCAGCCGGTGGTCCATGGGTTGCCATTTGCTTCTCAGAGGATTAGCATGTTGCCCAGGGCATTGGTGACTTACCCTACCGAGGCAGCTTAGCATTATTCATGTTCCCAATTTAAAAGGGAGGTCAGCATCCTACCTGTGGTCCAAGGAAGGAGTGTTCAGATCCTCCTCTGCTTTCTGCTTCAGAGACGTGGGCAGAGGTTGGGGCCTCCAGCGTTGGGCTACTTCCCTCGCTCTGCCCTTTGCCACCTGTAGAGAGGAATATTTACTGTTGTTGGGAAAAGGATGCTACAGAGCAATTCGTGATGGTGGCACAGAGTGTGTCTTAGGAAGCTCTGTGAGATTCATGGTGCCACTCTGTCCTACCTCATGTCACTTTATCTCTAGAACAGTGGTTTTCTGGTAAGAAACCGAGGGCTTCCATGCAATGAGTCACTTTGGGGGCTGCATGTTTGTTTCAGCTGGAGGACTCCATGCTGCTGATGCCACAAGTTGTGAATACACCTGGACTGATAGATTAATTATTAATTGATGGAGGCTTATGAATTATTTCAGTATTTTCTCTCATTGTGCATCACAAAGTGAAATCACCTTTTGTGAGACAAAGATCTCTCCTAAAGCCCTACATCAAAGCTGCAAAATTGTCACCCATATTGTGCTCTTGTTCAGCCTTCACATGCAGCATGTTTGCTTTGAAATACTTAATCAACCATTTGCTGAGCTACAGAACTCCCAGCATGTCAAAGGATGAGCACCTAGAAACTTTCTCTTTGAGGTTTTTGGCACCTATAACTGTGCATGATACAGGTATTCGGCTGCATTAATTATTTTGGGAGGATTTCCTAAGCCAGGCTTAGGAAGGACATGAGTGGGTCACGGCTTTTGTCCTTGTCCTCTAGGCAGGGAAAATAATTCACAAAGTGGGATTTTCAGACTCTCCAGCTGCATGGTGGTGTACTGGACACATGGATGGAAAAAATTAGTGTTGGAGACTGCTGAGAGTGCCTCCAGCCAGGGTGGTCCTTGCTCAGTAGCAGCCCATCTGTGCCTGCCTTCAGCTGTGCAGGAGGGGTCGTCCATCCCTGGGTGCCGGCACTGCTGGGGCAGAAAACCCTCACAGGTAGTGGTTGCAGATTTTGTGGAGACCTGGACTAAATGCTTTCATTTCCAGAAGGTGAAGAGCCAGGTTTGTTTCTGTTCCCGATGTAGCACAAAGCAGGTTGCTACAGCTCAGCATTCGCATTGCCAGAGCATTTAAAATGTGGTTTTCCAGAACGCCGTTGCAAATGACTTGTCCTTGGCAGGAGCGTGCGGCACAGGTGGATGGCTGGATTTGCCACCACGTTGTAACCTTTCTCCAAGGGAGGGGAGATACTTTAAGACAGACCCCACTTATGCTTCAAGAATGGGGATGTTGTGACACTTGCTGGCAAGCAAGGATCAGCATTAGCAGTGACTGGCAGGGAGGGATTAAACTGTTAAATGGTCCCAGTGGTTTCTGGCTGGGGCTGATGGTAATTATACCAACAATACCTGTCACATCCACAGCGCGTGACATAAATGCCAGGCTATTTGTTGAAGGTTGTACCTGAATGTTGCATCCTGTCATTATAAACCCTCGTAGCTTACAACAACATTATTTCATTATAAACCCTTGTAGCTTACAGCGACATTATTTCCAACAGTGCCGAGTTCAGACCGTGGGTATAGATCCCACATTGTATTTACCTCACCTGTGTCTGTTGAGTGTGCCCTATCAGTATGTGTTTGGTGGCACGGCCGGATCCACTCATACCGACAGGCTAAGTGCTGTGTATGGCATCGTCCCCAGGCTGGGCAGGTTAGCACCGGCTGCAGCCACCTTGCTGTGGGCGACGGCACGAGGGCCATGCCCTGCTCGGTCCCCAGGCAGGTGCGTTGGTCTGAGGTCTTAATCTGAGCAAAACTGCTTTGGGCATAACAAAGAAGGAAAGAGGAGAGCAACTTGCACCGCCCCAGCATCACATTTGGAACCAGCACTGCAATTGTAAATCGTTTGGCTTTAAGCTGTGATAAACTGAAGCTGGAGCTTTAAATATATAACACTTACACTCCAGAAACATGGGAGTTTAAAGTCTTCCTTAGCACTGTTCATGTCCTTGAATTGCCTCCAGCGTTTCCTGGGGTGAGTCGGGGTGAGCCTGGGCTCCTGGCTTTAAAAACTACAAGACTCAGGTTGGGCCACGCGTGGGAGGTTTCTGACACCCCAACCAAATAGTTTAGGCCTGGATTTGGTAGGTGCCTATGTGTCTTATTGTAGATCTTACGACTTAATTAAGTTGGTTGGTTGGCTGCTGCTTCTGCCTTGCAAAGGTATAGAGAGATTATCTTCCATCCCCCTGGAGTAACACAAGGAAAAGTCTCGCAGCGAATTTGTTTCAGGGTCGAGGAAGGAAAGGGTTACTTCTACAGGCCAGCAGCTGCTTCTTACTGGCGATTAATACTGTCAGACTCGCATGATGAACATTTTTAACCTCTTTCTTTCATTTACTAGTGCCCATTTAAAGTTATTCCTTATTAGCAGTCTATATGTAAAAAAACTTGTCTTCTGCAAGATCTTTTTCTTGCAGTTGAATGATCACCAGGGGCTAAAGTAGGCACATGCCCTTCAATGCCTTGAGCAATAGGCTGGCTGCAATGCTGGTCAATTTTGGGTTCTGCTCAGAATCTGATCTACATAATTTTTTAAATTTTTATTCTTTTACTTTAGCAACTGTTACACCAATGTAGATAATCTCTGCAGGGCAAGCAGGGAGAACTAATGTCGTATGTGGATAGATGTATGAAAACATCTAATTTACCAGCAGGCAGTTGGGTAATGATCAGTTGAGAATTGCAAATTATGTACGTCATATATTTGTGGCATGCTGCTGAAGAAAAGCCCAGTGCATATGACAAATCATATATATACTGAAATTTATAATACTTTTCGCATTTAATTGACTGAGGAAACCTTATGATTTATATCTTTGCTTTATTCATAGCACACCCGTAACATAGTCATAATGCAGAACGAAACTAATTCAATTTCTCTTTGACTTTGTAAATCATTTATATATTTGGCTGTCAACTATTTGAATATAAAGTGGGCATGCATATGGCAGAAAATAAATAGCTGATTCTCTAGTTAAGAAATGGAGTTTTAATGATATTAGGGTCTGTGTTGCCTTACTTGGATGTTTGGTCTTGTTTAGATAGCAAGCCTTACATTTGCCCCTTGCCTTATTTCACAAACCAAATATATTTTATGGGAACCAGCATTATTCTCTTAATGGCCCTATATAGTTTTACGACTGTGTAAAACATACTGGCTTGCTTTGATGGCAGCAGGAGCCCTTCCCAGGCTCAGGAGCAGTAAGTGGCTGAGCTTTTGGGCTGCTGCTCTTAGTCACAAGAGGTCTGCTTGAACGTGCTGGGAGGACATGCAGGGACTGCAGGCAGGGGCTGCCTCGTTAGTACCTTTCTGCAGATAACAAGAAGAAAATGTTCTGTTGGCCACAGCAGTGATCGCTTTCCCGAAGGTCAGTTTTTGCGATGGTGCTATCATGCGGAGTCTTTGAAAATACAACCTGGAAAGATTTTTTTTTCGTTTCCTTTAAATACCAAGTTACCTGGCTTGGCATCACTAATTAACCTTGGGAAGCACAGCAGTATATAGTCCTGAAAAGGCATACCTTACCCACTGGACCACAACCAAGGAGGCTGCCAAGGGCGCTTGTTGCCTCCTAAGAAAAATAATCTTCTGCAGTCAGATCTTTCCTTGACATGTTTTTTGACACCTTTAGCATCACTGGAAAACATCTGCAGAGTCAAGATAGTGCAGAAAGTGTGAGGCAGTTTGCTGGCTCATTATCATACTGCAAAAACAGCTCTGCTCCACAGCAGCATCCTTGGTTTCTAAATTTAGCACGTGAGTTATTTTGGGTAGTGTGTGATTAACCTCAATTACTGTAACTCAGATGGAATTCAAATAATACCCCCTCTTTCAGAGTTGCAAAGAAATGGAAATCTGGGACTGTACATTTCCTACCCTTAATGAGGCAGCTCTGAGAGATGCTTGCACATTGGTGGAGGCTAGTTGTGGGATGCATTTGTTCATGGAGAAATTAATGGGGGCAGCTGATCCCAAAAGGTGCTGGTGGCCCACGGCTCTGTACTGGTTTTGGGATCAGGAATATCAAGATGAAGGCAGCAGGTTATGTGGTGCAGCTGGTGTCAATGAAACCTGGGTGGCCACAGCAGAGATCACTGAAGCTTCAGTGGATTTGGATCACAGTCAGGAAACTTTGTAGTTTTCCTGTTTGAATTAAATCAGTAATGGAGGCTTTCAAAAACTTATAAAAAATATGCTCTCCCTCAGTCTCAGCCATAATGAATGTCGACTCTCTGGAAAATCATCGGTGGTGAGGCAATATGCAAATACACGCCTGCACGTGTGCAAATGTACACAAGCATGTGCGAGAGGGGAGATGCAGGGATGCTCAGGCAGATGGCCGAGAAGATGCTGCGGAAGGCGGTGGGTCTGGGGGAAAGCGACATATTTCAGCCCATCCAGGGAGTGCTAATGTACAAGCTCATCGGTCATCAGGCTGAGAATCGAAACTTTTGTCATCACTGTAGCTGTAACTTTCCAGACTGCACTGCACCAACCGAGCCTTTCTTCTGTCAAGCAGTTTGTCTCCAGAGGATAAAATGCAGGGAGATGGTTAGCGCAACCCCAAGCCAGCAAATAAAGCTCATTTATGTGTAGCAGTCGGTGAGAGAGCTGACCTACAGTGGCTTGTGGCAATTGCATTTGCTGGTGGTCAGAAGGGGCCCATACTTTGGAAACGAAGGCGGCACACCAAGCTGTGTGCTGCAGTCGACAGGCTGGAGGGAAGGGATGCCATCCACAGGGACCTGGACAGGCTTGAGAGGTGGGCCCATGCGAACCTTATGAAGTTCAACAAGACCAAGTGCAAGTACACGGACCTGTTGAAGTGGGTCCAGAGGAGGCCACAAAGATGATCTGAGAGCTGGAGCACCTCTCCTGTGAGGACAGGCTGAGAGAGTTGGGGTTGTTCAGCCTGGAGAAGAGAAGGCTCTGGGGACACCTTAGAGCAGCCTTCCAGTACCTAAAGGGGCCGACAAGAAAACTGGGGAGGGACTTTTTACAAGGGCAGGGAGTGATAGGACAAGGAGCAATGGCTTTAAACTGGAAGAGGAAAGATTTAGATGAGATATAAGGAAGAAATTCTTTCCCATGAGGGTGATGAGATATTGGAACAAGTTGCCCAGAGAAGCTGTGGATGCCCCATCCCTGGAAGTGTTCAAGGCCAGGTTGGATGGGGCTTTGATCAACCTGGTCTGGTGGAAGGTGTCCCTGCCCGTGGCAGGGGGGTTGGACTAGATGATCTTTAAGGTCCCTTCCAACCAAATCATTCTATGATTATGATTCTATGATTTGGATGGAGGAGCCAACCCTCCCACTTAAAGTCACATTTGCTTGAGAAGGTGAACCGAAACCACACGGTTTTGCACCAGGCTGAGCTTGGTTTTGTGCCTCATGGGTGGAGCGGTGCCATGACCACCCCGCTTCTGCACGTTTCTAGCCTTGTGCTGTGGCCAAAATGACGCCAAAGGATTTAGAGCTGTTACAGACTGGAAAGCAGCTATAAAATTACTACTTCATTACAGCAGCTATCGACTTCTTCAGGGGCTAGTTTGATTTTGTGTTTTTTGTTGTTCTGTAATTTATGTCTCTGTATTCCCACTAGAAATAACAGATCTGCCCCGAGTCCTACCAATGGGAAACTGTTCTCAGCAGTCACCGTGCCTCTTCCACGTGTCCTGTAATTGCTTGCTTAACATTTTACCCTCAGAAGACATTTCAGGGCCAGGCAGATGCCGAACACTGAACCACAGGGCTGTGGACAGTGTGTTGCAAAAAAACCAAAACAATCTCTGCTGAAGGCTGCAAGGAAACTGATTGCACGAATTGAGTGGTAGCACAGAGATGCGGTAATATGGGGGAAAAGGGAAAGAAAATAAGCAAATGCTATTGCTGTGCATTTCTGCTGAGCCGCCTTCTGTCTTTTTCTGGGTTGCAAACAGGGGCAGGGGGTGTTCGGCTTGGTGATCTCGAGCTGCCATGTGTCCCGCCCCAGCACAGGGGGGCTATGGCTTCCCAAGCGAAGTGATAGGCTTTGAAGGGCACCCCGCTTTTCAGGGGCTCAGATAGTCACCGACAAGGCTTGCTGCCAGACTGGCTCACAGGGCAAAGTGGGTGCAAGACCTCGGCGTGAGGATGCTCAGCCCCAGGACGCAGCTCGGGAGGCATCAAAATAGGGTCTGCACAGTCCCCTGGTCGTGTCTGTCTCGGGATGGTGAACGTTGTGTGCATCCTTTGTGAAGGGCTCTGTCTCAGAGCGAGGCCCATCACCACTCGTTCTATGCTGTACTTAATTGATAATATAATATAGATGGTCGACCTGAAGAACTGAACGGCTTGTAAAGGTGCTGCATTGATTAATTTTTCACCTTGATTTGCCTTTTGTTTTTATACAGCTGGACAACCCAGATGAGCAAGCAGCACAGATCAGACGTGAGTTAGATGGACGTCTTCAAATGGCAGAGCAAATCGCCAAGGTAAAAAAAAAAAAAAGTATTCTGTATTAATAAGCTTTTTATATAGAAGCACGTAGGTAGTTTGATGCAGCCCCCAGGTCCTGTCCTCCTCTCACAGGTTTCTTCTCCCAGTAATCACCAGTTAAAAATTAACAGATTTTAGAAAAATTAGCAGGTTTTTAACTACAAACAAAACAACAAGTACAGATGAAGCTATTGTGATGTGCATTTCTTGGAATGTCTTGGTTAGCTGGGATAGCTTAGGTTCCTGCAAAATCCCGTATGAATCCTCAGCAGTGGGGAAGATACCGTCCTGAAGTGCTGCAGCTAGATCTGCAAGTGCATGTCTGAGCCCTCTTTGTCAAACTTCTATGCGAGGCAGTAAGGTGGGTGATGGCATATAAAAAGGAGCCAGGAATTGCCCTAACAGGGTTTGTGCCGTTTGCTGGGCTGCTGGAAGCCACAGTTCCCTGCCTGTAGGTAGATGCTGCCTCAGTGAAGGTACTTCAGATGTGTTGTCCCAAACAGGTTCACACTTTGTACAAGAGCAGTCAGGCTAGCGTTGCACCGTGCGGACATCGCTGCCATCTGGAGCAGCAAGCATGGGACTTTCAAGCAGTTTTCATAAACAAGCACTCAGCTAAACTCCCTAGAGACCCTTCTGTAAGGAGACATCTCCCTAGGAGCAAATCACACCCGCACACAGTGCAGATTTATGTGGCTGCCAGTGGAACATAGACGGAGAGAAACCCTGGATCCTGTTGACATCAGTATGGCTGAGATTTTATCCTTGCCTCTAATCAGATGCTCTGAGTCACTGACAAAGCCCTAATGGGGCTGAAGTCATTGAGAATGATCTATCTGGCTATTCTTGATAATCAAGAAACCATTACTAGAAGGAAAAGAACAAGGTCTAATCAGAGAGACGTAGCTCAGGCTAGGGACCTGCCTTTCAGCAGCAGTCCTTCCGGCACTGAGCTGTGCCCAAATTGGGGATTTTTATGAGAAAGGTAGTATCAGAGCTGTTTGCAACCATACTGCTATCTCTGGGTGTGAAAAGCAGAGCACATTCATTTATGGTCAGGCGTTAGCGAGGATGTCAATGGCGCCTGCGCAGTTACCCTTCTCTAATGCTTCTGTTAAACAGCCACAGTCGTCTCATCTTTGGGGAGATAGGTTCTGTTTTTCCTCGCTTCACTGATAAAAATAGTAAGACGGCCAAGGGCCACGTGGCCAAATGATGGTGCAGCAAAGCAGCAAACCAACTGCAGCTCCTTTGTTCAGCATTTGACCCTTTGCCATTTTAGTGTCAAGAAATCCTACAGTATTTTTTATTTGCAGCAAAATGTAAGCCGCTGCGCAGAGTGCTGCTGCTCCAATTCCGAGATGAGTAGCCAGGCACTGGGTGCCAGAACGAGATTGCCTGGTTTCGTTGTTTCATTTTCTGTTTATGGCATGTGGGACAACAATATGCATGGTTCAGTAGCAGCCAGCAGAGGCTGCAGCTTCATGAATTATTTTTTGCAAACAAGAGTTTGCCATTTCCATTCCTTCCTCAAGGATGCTGAAAACAAACCATGCCGCTGCTAGCCCTGTGAGAGACAGTCAGGGTAAAGTCCTCAACATATCCTGACATTTCCCCATGCAGAATTCAACCTTCAAAATACAACTGTGCAGCTTAGAGGTGGTTTAGAGTAAAAGTGACTTACTTGTGATCCATTTGGCAGGTATTGATATTTAATCTTACCGCTCCAGGCCTGCTCTCCAGAATGTTAGATCCTGCCAGCACCTGCCTACAAGAAACCTCGTTCTTTCAGATCCATGAATACCATCGTTTGGAGGCATCCAAATGACCTTTTGAATCCTTCTGTGTATCCTCGTTTCCAGGCAAGGCTGCTTTCCCTCTAGCACAGGGCAGGTTCACAATTCAGCTCAGCAAAAGGATTGCGTTTCCAATTTTATCTCCAATTTGCAGCTTTTAATGCAGGTTTGCTGCACAGGGAGACTTACAGTGCTGGTGAAACCAGCCCTGAGGTGGCTGTCTTGGAGATTCCATGCTAAAGGCAACATTAATAAATAAAGAAATTCACACTAGGGTATTTGTACTTCAGAGGCAACAAAGGCTGTGGAGTCTGACAGAACCTGGGATTGCGGTGTTGCAGAATCGGTGTCTCTGCAAGCCCTCGTCTGACCTGTTGTGTGACCTTGAACAATTCACTGTGCATGCCAGCTTTCCTGCGTCTGGGTACCAGGGCAGAGCTTGGGGTCCTTGTACCCCGTCATGTGCCCAGGGGAGATCAGCTCAGCACAGCGCCAGTGCAGCACAAGGCAGGGTCCCACACTCAGCCTGACTCCATCAAAGCACATAAGCCCAGCCTTAGAGCCAGCCACCTTGAGGATCACGTTTCAAATTAAGCAGATGTTTTAAAGCTGAATCTGGACAGGCTTTTCGCTCTGTGTGTTGTACTTTTCCAGCAGCTAAATGAGAGTAGCATTACAGCTGAGAGCTTAGTGATGCCAAGGCAGAGGTATATTTTTCTCTGCAGTAGCAAGTGCTCTGCTGTCCTGTGGTGCCTTTCCCCCCACCCAGTCACCTGGCCTCAAGGGCAAGGAGGATCACGTGTATGGGCAACTAAACAAGACCCTGTGATGACACCAGAGCAATATGTCCATCTGGGGCTGGACCCACTCTGCTGGTCATTCTTTGCAGTCTCTTAACTGTGCTTCTCTCCACACTTGTCCCCATTTCTGGTCCCCTCCCTGCTCCAAGTACATGTGGAGATGACTAACACCCTTTCTTGGTGTTGTCTACGTCTCTTGATTGTGTCTTCCTCCAGAGTTCCCCTAGCTCTGTCTTCGGTCTAATGGGTAACTTGGGACCACACCTGCATCTCTACATTTCCATCATCAGGCCCAATCCCAGTTAAATTTTTATACGTCACTTCAAACTACCCGGTTTTAACCTTAGTGGCACACAGTGAAATGTCTCTGTCCTTGCTGCGCTTCTGAAGAGGTTTGTGGGGGCAGTGCCAAAATTGCAGTCCCTAGAGAGATGGATAGCAGCAGGGTGAAAAAGCAATAATGTTTGAACATCATTGCTTCAGCAGTAGTCCTCAAAATCTGCAAAACAGTTGTGGTTTGTTTTTTTTTTCCTAGGGGTGGCTTGCAACTTATATAACGCGTAGATGGTGAACCAGACTGATTACATAGTTTATCTTACGCCAGGTCTAATTTACATGAGGGAATTGCTTCCCAAGATTGAGACTGGGAACAGAAGACTGTATTTTAACTGCTTAGTGCGAGCGCTGCTGTGAGCTGCAGTCGTGATGGGTAAGCTATTGAGGACTGATGCAAAAACTAGTGCAGTCGAGTACTTTTTCAGCAGCCTGATGACAGTCTTCTAGAAGAAACATGACTTTGTTTTCTTTTCCAGCATACGTTTTACGAACTGCTTTTTATGATTTTATGAATTGCCACTAAGATACTTTGCACGTCAGCCTCAGGTTCCCTGGCTGCGGATGCTGCCTTGCTGTTGTACACTTTGCACAGTTTCTCGTAACCCACTGAGAGACAGTCAAACTCTGAGCAGATTTGGGGCACGGGCAGAGTTGTCAGAAGATGTAGGGCTCAGACCAGTGATCCTAACAGAGCTGGAGCATGGGCAGCAGTTCAAAACTGAGAACACACATTGGGGAACATGACGTTTTGCTCTCACTGTCAGCTTTGGGTTTAGTGTTTAAATGTCCTGTTTACAACAAGCAGCACTGGAGCATCTCACAGTGAAAGATTGCCTTGTTGGAGAGAGACATGGTCCCTGGCAAGTAGTAGAAAGGGTATTTTACCCCTTCTTCCAGTTGGGACCACACATTCCTGCCCACACATTGATGATTTTCCCTACTTGTGCTCCTTTCACACCTAGAAAAGTAATGGAGCAAATGCTTAGAAGTGTTTTAAAAAGAGCTGGCACATTTAGGAGCCTGGAAAACAAGTCCCTAACTGTCAGCATCCTTTGAATCATTAGTCAATTGTTGCTAATCACAAGGTTCAGCTGAGATCTGTCCTTGAGTGTTTGTAATTGTGAATACATGTATATGAAGAAGGCCATTTGCAGATAGAAAAATTAATGCAATGCAAGTGCATGCAAGAAACAGTAAAGTTGGATAAGTACCAAGTCGTAATTCTATGGGAAGCTAACACTGATGTTTCTACATTACACAGGGGGAAGCTGTAATTTGTCATCTGGTTTGTGGGAGTTCCCAGCTCACAAACCTCTCCGCAGATGCTCCTGGGGGATTCTCCCAGTGCAACAAGTGGTTGCTGTTTGTCACAGCCATTCATTCTGTTGTTTTTGTTTCCAAATCCAAGGAGCGCAAGTTTCCGAAGTTTGTGTCCAAAGAAATGGAAAACATGTACATTGAGGAGCTGAAGTCGTCTGTCAATCTCCTGATGGCAAACTTAGAGAGCATGCCTGTGTCCAAAGGAGGCTCTGAGTTCAAGCTGCAGAAGCTGAAACGTAGTCACAACACCTCAATAATTGACATGGGAGAAGAAAATGAGAACCAGCTTTCCAAGTCAGATGTCGTATTGTCGTTCTCCCTGGAGGTAAGCTTCACGCACACGACAGTGTGCAGAGTTCATGGGAGTAAAAATCACAGCAGCCAACTTCTGCTCAGTTCAAAGTAGGTGGAGAAAGGTCAGTAGAAATCATTTTCTGATCTCCATGGGGAACGGCTCCTCTCTGAGTTACCAGAAGCTTTGCCTGTGGTGGTCAAACACTGTGTCCTTTCTGGTGTCTTACTATCTTGTTGGAACAAACTGTGTGAGATAAACTATCTTTGGATACCAAATGGCTCAGAAATCTGCATCATGAACTGCCTTCTTCATGTGGCTAGTTACTGAGGGTACTCCAGTAACCCTGAGCCTGTATTGTCCCCGAAACCAGTACAGTAATGCAACACCATAAAAGTCAGTGTGTTTAATTACTGCCAGTTAGAGGTGTCAGTGCATTTCCCTGCAAACCTTGGTTCCTCTTTGAAGAATTGTTAAAAATTGCTGGGGTTTGAATGCACCTAACAGATCGGCTTACAGTTTGTGTAGAAATACTATTCTTTGCTGGCTTGCTCTTTGCTTTGTGTTGAGCACTGACTTTCTGCTCAGCGCTCTGTCGAGCATTTTGTCTGTACAGCCCAGGGGAAGGCAGGGTGCCGCGGAGACCTGCCCTTACCTCCAACACAAACTGTCTCGGTGCTGGAAGCAGCATTGCTGCAGTAGCTGTTTTCAGCCAACTTAATTGTTCTCTGCAAATATATTTGCGGTCTAGGCAAGACATTTGCTCCAAGGAGTCATCAGCACACCCATACAGAATTGTTGTTGTCTGTCAATGACTGGATTTGTATTACATTGTCAAAACAACTACTAGGATGGGATCAAAAATGTAGGATGCAGAAAAATCAGAAAATTCTGTTTTTGTGTAGTTTCCTGTTTATTTCTTTTCCTAACGGATCTGTTGTTATATATATCACACCAATGCGAAAGCTAATGATGTTAGTTGTCCAGTCTCAGAGTTTAACTCATTAGATGTCTGAAACCGTCTTTATAATGTTCAGTTCAGTCTTATGTAAAAAGGGGGCTATGAACGCAGAGATGGTGTCTTCAACAGCAGCATCAAATAAAGCCCAACTTCTAAGCGTTCCCATATGGAGGAGCAGGGAACTATCACAAAGCAGTAGACCTCTCTGTTGCAAAAGCCTGTGCAGCATGCATAGCCGTGCATAAAGGGACTTGATCTTGCCACGGGATGTCTCGATCACTTTGCTCCAGCTGAAGCCCATCTGATGGGAAGCAGAAGCTCAGTGAAGTGAAGCACTGACTTCAGGAGCTGGCAGGTCTGTGCACTGCTCTGTGCATGAAACTCTTGCTGCAAGAGGGTTTTTACCAAAAATATGTGCTCATCAGAGGGTTTGTGGAGCTCTGTGTGCCAGGGAAGGGATCCTCAGTGTGAGGACAGATCAGAAGACCTGAGGAGAGGAATTTTAAACCCCTGTGAATATACTTCATAGATAACTGTAATAAAACATGAACAGAAACTCCCACAGTGTTTCTTGTAGATATGTTTAAGGCACGTGGTTATCAGGATTAATCACCTTTAAAAAAAAAAACAAGGGTAATTACCTGAAACAAACTTAGATGGTGATTTCTTAATAAGAAAGATTTCTTATAAGAAAAATGGAGAAAGACTTTTTACCAGGGCCTGTAGTGACAGGACAAGGGGCAATGGTTTTAACTGAAAGAGGGTAGATTTAGATTGAATATAAGGAAGAAAATGTTTATGGTGAGGTTGGTGAGACACTGGCACAGGTTGCCCAGAGAAGCTGTGGATGCCTCATCCCTGGAACTGTTCAAGGCCAGGTTGGACAGGGCTCTGAGCAACCTGATCTAGTGAAAGATGTCCTTGCCCACGACAGGGGGATTGGACTAGATGATCTTCAAAGGTCAAACAATCTTGAAAATAGGCTTTGGGCACGAGCTGAGTAGCTGTGTGCTTTTTTTTCTGGGTTTCACATATTAAGGCACTTTTGAGTGGGGCAGGACCATGTCTGTGAGGCCTATCTCCTGAAGCTTGGTACAGCCCTGGGCACCCAAGAGTTTCACCAAGCCCATGTGCAGCCAGAGGGAGACCTCCCGGTCTCCATACAGACCTCGCTGGCTGCCACGGTCCCCACTCAGCCTGGGCAGTGCCATCATCCCTGCCCACCTACCACCATGAACATCCAACAGCATGTGGAGGACCCCAGCGCTGGCTTTTTTTCAGCCAGAGCAAGGTCTGAAGGAGGCTGTGCTCCTCTTACACTCCTTTTTCTTTGCCTGGCAGGTTGTCATCATGGAGGTGCAGGGTCTGAAGTCGTTGGCCCCGAACCGTATTGTGTACTGCACCATGGAAGTCGAAGGTGGGGAGAAACTGCAGACCGACCAGGCTGAAGCCTCAAAGCCAACGTAAGTCTTGCTTTGCCTTTTGCTCTCTCCGCCATGCTCTCCTCTGCCCCATCTCTGCACTGCTGAGTCGCTGTGGATAGCTCTGGCTCCTGCATGGTGAGGCCAGAGGGGACACTGAGATGCAGAGGAGAAGCGTGGCCTTCCACGTATGCACAGCGTCATCTTGCAACTAAGAATGGCACATAAGCCCTGATTGAGGAAAAAAAGTGTTGACGGCATGCTTACGTCTCTTGTAGCCATAGAGACATAAATTTGTGCCTATACGTAAGTACTTTGCTAAATAGGGATGGAGTTAAGCATGTGCTTAGATAAATACTTGTCTGAGTGTCCATCTGAACTGGTGCTATCAGGTGTAGGTACATAATCCTGTCCTCACTGTCAGGGTTTTGGCAGTCCTACAGGAAAGGAAAACAGCTGGCGGGTACACACTTCAGCAGCCACAGCCAGAGGTGGGAGAGAGGTGCTGAGGAAAGCTTCAAGTCACTCAGTTAAAGCTTTATCTAAGACCACTCTGCCCTGGTCCAGTTCAAGGGCAGGGTCTTGTTCTGTACTCTTTGACCTGGTCCCCAAATCCTCAACCTTAACCCCATACTTGGCTTTTTTGTCTTACCCAGATGTTGTTATAAGCCTGCTAGTAGTGATTGATCTTTGTTAATTTGGAAAGAGAAAATGATGAACGGCTTATTTCCTTATCTGATTTGTGGAATTAGTTAACTCGAAACACTATCTGTTTGGATTTGAGGCAGTTTTCCACTGGTTGACTGCAGAGATTTCACACTTAAATTCTCGGTACGCATCCTCACAGTGAAGAATTGCCGAGGTGATATGAAGCCTCCTCCAGCACTGGGGAGCAGTGCAGGAGGGACTGCTGTTGGGAACAGAGAGGGAATATCCCATATCCCATTCCTTCCGAGTGGCTGGTCCCCAGCAGTGTTTCACCAGGAGCTTCTCAAGCTCATGGAGGAAAAGCCAAAAACACCCAACTGCTTTACATGCGAGTGCGCAAGCACTGCAGGCAAACAGTTCAAGACCAGCTGATGCGGGCAGGAGGAGAGCAGAGCCAAAGGTGGGCTACCTTCACTCAGTGGTTGTCCTCCTGCAGAGGCACAGAAACTGCTGATGCCTTGTGCCTTGCTCTGTACCGGAGAAGCAGGAATCCGCAGTAAGCAGTTTAAAAACAATATTCGCAATCAAGGAAAGTGCTGCAGCCTGGCTTACTTTTCAAAACGCTTTGAAAACTGCTTCAGAGAAGGAAGTAGGAGAGCTGTGCTTGGAAGAAAATTTCCATAAGAACCTGCAACTGTCACTATTTTAGGTATTTTTATTGCTTCAGTGGAGAAAGTTGGACTCTATTTAGGGGAAATTACTACTACCCATGCTGAAAAGCACACTTCTACTGGGTTACGTGTGCTTGTCTAGCTTGGTCTGTTCATCCCATTTTTGCTCAAAGGATCTGTCCTTCCTTACACAAGCCTTCTTGCTGTCAGCGTAGGACCATTTATACAAGTGTTGTTTTGAAAATAAGGGCTGCAGGAGTGAGCTCTGTAATTGAGTGGGTCTTTTGATCATAATGAAATGTACAGTGTCTGGGCATGAAGCCATCAGCCCTCAGGAAAATGCAACCAACGCCGAATGCTGCGGCGTGATACGAGTTATGCAAGTCCATCACACTCATCCTCTCTCTGTGCTGACTTCCCATAGACGTGCGAGTCAGGCTTGAAGTCTTCTTGGTTGCTCCAGCACTTGGGCTAATACCTAGGGAAATAACCTAGGAGGGGAGTACGTTTGACAGTTGCATTTCTTGAGGGTCCTGGGACATTTTACTTCCAAAACCAAAGACTACTTTGGCTCTAGAATAACCTTCCACAGAAACGAGACCATCACAGAAAGCTGGTCCGTTTTTCCTCTCTGCATTAGAAGTGCTTCTTTCACCTTGTTTCCCCTCCCAGACACAACAACCCAGACGTGGAAAACCAAAGCCCTATGAAAGCAATTTACTTCACTTAGATTCTTCTTTTCAGAAGAGAAGGAAAGAGAGAGAATGGACCAGGTGTGACGTGTTTGTCATGTTGCTCAATACAAGAGTTGAAGGCCCTCAGGTACTCCAGTGATGAGGGCAGTGACAGAAGCAGCTCAGAGAAGTCTTTGGTGCATTTTTGAGCTCTGCTGCCTTACAGACAAAAGATTTGTGGTCAGCCAAAACAGCCTTCTGGAGTGTCTCTTTAGATGCTGACATCACTCTGACTGAGGTAATTCACACCATGTTTGCTTGTGTACTTTTTATCATAAGCAAAACACTCATTGATAAAGGAACTAGATCAGCAAAAGCATGCCGGACTGCCCTCCAGGTGAGCTCGCTCCCCAGGTGTCCCAGGTTTTGTATGCTTTGGCAAGGGATGCTGCCTAGCCTGGGGGTGAGGAACACACTGCCGGGATTTTGAGCCTCAGCACTATGAAAGTGTAAATACTGAAGCAAGTACATCCCAAAACTTTACACCCTGTAAACCCTGTACATAGCAAAACTTTTGTATCTCAGAGGCTCAAAAAATAGAAATGCAGGGTAAGTGCCTGTACTTAGAAGATGCAGTGAATACAGTTCTGGAAACAGGCGGTATTTTCTCAGATTAAACTGTAAGTCTTCAAACTGTTTGAAATTCAACTTTGCCGTTGTCTGGAGGCTCTACAGGCTACAAAAGACTAAATTTCTCATACACATCAGGGAGAAAAAAAATTACATTTGAACAGTAAGGTTCATTGGAAGACTTCACTTTTTTATGACAGCCCTGTGTCCTGGGGTAGAAAGGAGAGTGTCACAGGGCAACACAACCTTGTAAGACATCTTTTTGCCAAAAAATGACTCATGGAGTTGTTCACTGTATTCTCATGTGTCCTTGAAATGCCAGCCCTTGGCTAAAACACCCAGGTCACGGCACACAGGTGCCAGTGGCTCCTCTTCAACTCAGTGCTGTGCCAGGGGTGCTAACCTGGGCTCTGCACCCCTAATGGAAAAAGGCAATTTCCCAGCCAGGGAAGGATTTCTAAAAGCACCAGTCTAGGTCTGTGAGAGATTTGCCTTTCATCTCCCCTGGTGCAAACCCAGCAGTTTTTTGAGAATAAGGTGTTTGAAAGCATCTCGGTGACGATGGAGCTTGAATCCTGTTTGTAGATGTTGAAAGAGGCAGGGCAGCAGCAGGGTTAGCAGCCGTACGTACGAAGTGATCAGATGAGTCATGTGCGAGGAGGGTGGCTCTTGGGACAGCAGTAAATACGAGTCTTCTCCTTCTTCTCAGGCTCCATGTTGGATTCCTGACATTTTAAGCCCAATCCCTTCATGTGAGGATTATCTGCCTCAACACGGGTACAGGGGATGGCACAGTTCTAGAGGAAGTCAGACCTGAAATAGCAAGGCTTATTTCAGATCAGGCTTGCAGTGTATTATTAGTAGTGCTTTTAATAAGTTGTGTAAGAAAAAACCTTTGTATTATATCCTAACCTGCAGATGCCTCTACAAAATGTCCCAAATCCCAGTGTGAGCGGGATTTTACTGCTTTTTCCACCGGAACTGTATTGTTGCAGATCGTTGAGGGGTTTATACTCCCCCTTTCCCTGCATGTTGGCCTGATGTCTGCCCTCTGCAAAGCACGGGAGGTGAGGTGGCTCTGCACGTCTCCAACACTGCCCTTCCAGGAGCTATGTTAGTAATGATGCTGTTTGCATGGCCTGAGAACGGGATTGCCGAGTGATTTGGGAATAGCACAAAAGGTCCAGCCACAAACCTCCTGTCCTACAGTCTCTAAAGAGGCTGCTGGATGTATTTAAACTGTGACCTGTGCTTGTAGCAGTGCTCATGGGCTGCACCAGTATTTCATCACGTTATCATGTTGCCTTTCTCTGATGTGAGCAGAACTAAAGAAAACAAAGAGACTCAAACAACAGCCAGGTCCTCCGTGCCCTGTGAATAAATGCTATATATTCATCTGGACATATTTCAGCATACATGGAAGTCTCATTCTCCCCTGGCTTACAGTAGTGAAAATCAGGTGTACCTGCACTGAGGTCATCTGAACCATTAGGGTTAAAAGCAGTAAATAACTGGTGGAGGAAGAATCTGGCCAACCTGTCTGGGCATTTTGGTATGCCCAAGAAGGGACAGAGGTGTGGGCTGCTCCTCTGACTCTGGAAGTGGCTTCATTTTGAGGTTATTTACCCCCTCCTTTCAGAGCAGCCTCTTCAGTCCTAGTGCAAGGGTTGTGCAGTAGCTCAGAGTATGAGAAGTGAGGATGAAGCTTGTTATTTTTGAAGGAGAAAAGATCACTCTTTATTGCCTGTTTTGTTTTGGTTTTTTTTTCATGCAGTTTTCTTGAGCATGTGCTGGAGGGCAGTGCTGGAGAGAGCACACTCAATGGGTCTCATCTGACTCCATGTCACTTCTTATGTTGTTTGTCGTGACCAGGAGCTTGGGCCTTGTGCCCTCTCCAGAAATTCACTCTTGATAAAGTAATGTCTTTGGTAAACTTTTAAACCTCTCGATCTCTGTTCCCTTACCCACCGCACTAGGAGACAGGGGTCTGATTTGTCTTTGTGCTCGCTCCTGATGCTACTCCCTGGTTTGCTTTCAAGGTGCTTTGACAGCTCAACTGCTTACCTCTGCTGCAACAGGCTGCCGTTGTTTGGATCCCTACACCAAACCTCAAAGCTTATCACTTGACTAGGGTTCTCATTTCAAATTGGTGTGCCACATCCATCAGAGCCCACTGCCTGACTGTGAAGAGGAACTCCACAGCATCTTTCCTCAGCACCATTCAGTCTCCATCTCCTTCTGGGAGATGGGCTCTGAGCAGCAAGGGGAGAATCCCTGTGGGAATGGAGGCTGGCAGGCAGGGATGACCTCTCTCTCTTTGCAGAAGGGGAAAATTTGGTCTTTTCTTTCAGGAATCCCCTGCCTCAGGCCCTGGAGTTTGAAGTGATGCTCAGTGGCTTTGCACAAGAGTAGGAGCATG